TTTTGGGATGCGCCACGCATTGTAGTTCTTTTCAGAATCGTAAAGGCATTTTCAAAGCGACATGGTCTTAATGTGGCCTATGTGGGCAAGCTGTTGTACAAAGCAGAAATTGTCTCCTCCCAAACAGTTCACCATTCAGTCGATCCAGAGGGACAGGATGCTTGGCCGGCTTCCATCCTCGGACAATGTACATGGTAGCAGCGCCATTTGCCATTACACCACTCACACCCCGACATGAAGAAAACATGCTAGTATAAGGTTGAACTTCCTCAAGAGATATTGAAACCTGTTTTCTGGGACAAACTCGAATACACCGTTAATCCAGCTAAAGCTACACCAAAAATCAGTTATCATCACACAAAACTACAGTATGCCACCAAAACCAGAGAAGGGTGACAGATGCAATAAATAGAATTTGAACCGCTTCAAATGGTCTGAAGTCTACCAGGGCTCACAACAAAGGTAATCTCTTGCATCAAAAACACAAAAAGCATCTGTATTTTATTTAACCCTCCCTCCACCCTCCCCGCCTCCTTTAGAAGGGCTATTATTACACTCTGATACGATGTAAGTATTGTTTCCGACAAGAAGCATCTACTTCATCATAACTGTTACTAAGATTGCTACTAGTAGTTACCATCAGTTATCACTTATAACTGTATGATAGCGCTCCGATCACTGATTTCCAGTAATTGCTCAAAGTGGGATGGCCCACTTTACCTAGTAGTTATTTCGGAGCAAATACGGTCTTTTGCCGCCTGCATTTTTTTCCGGCAGAAAAACACCTACTTGATCAGTACTGCTACAAGATTGCTACTAGTAGCTATTATCAACTATCATTACTATTTGCGATAATATCCCAAGCGCCACGCTTACAGCAATTACTCGACTGGGATGGCCCATTTTCCCTAAAAGTTATTCCAAAACTAATACGGTTTTTTCGACAAGGATTGAGGAAAAGTTGAGGGAAAGGTTGTGGAAAACAGAAGGACATACCCCCTTTACAAATGATATTTTCAAGTATGACTTTTTTGTTTTCGGTAGAAACTCGAATCTCTATGGGCCGTGCAAGAAGCAAAATAGGGTCCTCCGTTAAAATATCTTCTTTCAGGAACCGCCATGCACTCGACTTACATAGAGAGTAATCGAGGATTAAATAGGACC